GACCGGCACGCGGCGACCGTCCACTTCGCGACCGACCCCGACTGTCTGATTCTCCTGGTCTCCATGAAGGCCGGCAACTCAGGGCTGAACCTCACGGCCGCCTCGCAAGTGATCATCCTGGACCCGCTCTGGAACCCGTACGTCGAGGACCAAGCGGTGGGGCGCGTCCATCGCATCGGACAGCGACGGCCGGTGCACGTTCACCGCATCCTGGTTTCCAACACGGTGGAGGATCGGATCCTCGACTTTCAGGACAGAAAGCGCCAACTCATTGAGGGCATCATCGACGAGAGAACCCACGGGGAGCCTAGCCGGCTGGAGAGCACTGATTTCGCGTATCTCTTTGTAAGTAGCGGAGACCTCTTTGTCTCTTCAAGGGGGAAAAAATTGGGGGAGAAAGATTGCTAAGCTAATTTTGGGGTATGCATCATTTAGGGTTTGCCATGATCAACAGGATCACAATTCTATTCAGATAAATGGCCAGACACAGCCAGGTCCAAAGAAGGCATGAGTAGACAGACTTCAAGCCGGCCCCATCAAGCCGCCGTTCCGTGCCAGCACCATTCAAACAGACCAAACAAGCTTGGCGGTCAGCAGTGCGCTGGGAAGTGCCAAAAAGATATCCTTACACCACGTCACGGGCCTCCTCGTTCATTATCCGCAATGCGGCCCTGGCGGTTTAGTGGAAGAGATAACCAAGACAAAGTCGAATAGGTGATGAAGCGGATTGTCCCTGGGCAGCACACCACTTGTTTCACGAATACAGCCATGCAAAAGCCCAATCTACAACCTGGACTATTCAAAAATTACCTACACAGGCCTACATGTGCAAGTAGTGAATTAGGATAACCGTTCTTTTCTTCAGCAGTCTCGCGCGCTCTCTTGTCGCTCTGTCTCAACGATAATTCTCGTCTCAATGATGAATTGGAAGCTTTACAAGCTCCTCTACTATAAATCCAGTATAATAGCCTGGGGCCTTCTTTTATCAGTCTAGCTAGCTTCGATAGGTAACCCCTCGTAGCTTTATATTATAGTGCTTTACTTTGTTCTGATGTCCTTCTTCCCAAAGTTCGTTATCTTTCGAGTCCTTAAAGCTAAAACTGTAGTTTCAGTATTGGTTTTTAAAGGTCTAGGAAATCATTTATACCTTTATAGTTCCACAGATAAATTCTAAGTATTTCTAGCTGTTGGGCTATTCAAGCTATGAACAGTGCTACATGGAATACAGTGCGGAGTAGCAGGCGCCCGACGTTAGATCAAACAGCCATACTTAATGAGCGGTTCGAGATATAGCTAACTAACGAGTTAACTAACTTATAGATTATCTATTAGACTCGAGCCTAGTAGTAGTGCTCCTCACATCATTGTCTTTTGTATATCAGGCATATTGTTGGTATACTCGCTATTCTTGACCCTTTCGATTGAGACCTGGCCCGCGCTCTGGCTCTGAATGTCGAACCTACTTAGGACCAAAATAACATCTTGTCGTTCGCCATCACTTCTTCCTAATGTCAAGGAAATCACATGAACGCCCATCAGTTATCTATCAGTCCAAGGCTTCACCCTGATAGGTGCCGATGCAGAGACCTGCTGTACAATGGGCTAGGACGTTACGCGCGAGTTGGCGCTAGGCAGCAGGGAATTGAAGCAAGGCTAACCCTCCTGCTGGCGAGCTTACATGATACACAGCTTTGACTCATTCCAGCAAAACAGAAACGTTACCTCGTAGAGAGGACAGAGACCGCCGAAGATACACACCATGATTTATGCGAGAAAAGAAAGAAAAGAAAGAAGAAACGCTCTACAGTCAACTTATTACGTCAATAAAGTTTGTGAATAGCACAACGGCACAGACCCTCGCCCAAGGTTCAGAATAGGGAGCAGCTAGGCGGTCTAAACCTGAAATGAAAGCGGCACCGATCGGGTAGTGATTTGCGCCGCTTCGCTCTCATTTGCATTTCCCTTCCCTTGGACGTCTGTAACTCACCCCCTGGTTATTAGAGTGTGCACAACTACATTGTTTTCCCGCATCTGGTTCTCTTGATAACTGCAGGTGGAAATATAATATAGAATCGATAAATCTAGCCAGGTTGTGGATTTGAGTTTCGTATGTGGACTCAAAATCTTCCAAGCAAAATTACAACTAATACTTAAAATCCCAGGCATCACACGTATTCCGTAAACTATTAGCTTCCAGGTCATTGCGGGGTTCTAGGTACCCACAGGTACCCAGAAAGCATTCTGGCGAGGTCATTGGCTCAGCGAAACGCCCGGCTCAACTGTCGGACAATAAGCCCTATTTTGGCCCACCAGATAGATGTACATCCTAATGCTGGGAAGTGACGAGAGACGTCCTTAGCTGGAAGTGGTGAGGCTATATTAGGCCAATCATGAGGCTCAAGCCAGGGCCCAGTTCACATACGCTAAAAGATTGGGGTATAATAAACGTCTAGAGAATAGCAGTAGATGAAAGTCAATTATTTCTGTAACACTCTCAAGATCTTATAGAAATCAAATATTTTGGCTTGACCTATAAGCTGCCTTGGCTCTGTCAAGTTCAACGTGCATGATAAAGATTGTGTAAGGTGGTAGTTTTTGCTTACTGTTGATATAATAGGTATGCTATTGTTGTCTTGAGTGGGGGAAGCGGAGGAGCAACAGCTATTCGAGCGCGAGGCTAAAGTATGGGCCATGATTGGAGGGATGGAAGTCCATTGATGCCAACTGTATCACGCCATGCCGCTGAGACAGAGGATTTGGAAACGATTGTCCAGGTAACGACTTTGATTCGTCAGATAAGGGAAAATGTAGCCTTGTCGCCACAGTCTGCCTTGCGGGACCAGGCGACTATGTAGGGATGACTGAACCAACGATACTATCCGCAACCTATCGAGTTCTGTCAACTAAAAGATGGGTGCTCCTCGTTTAGCGCCCGACCTCTAGGTCATCCTACGCCTATGAAGGAATACTGTAAGAGGTCAGTGCGAAGAAGGACATAAATGTCGCACGATTATGCCTCAGAGTGAAGTCTAGCTATTCTCCATCCCTATTTCGAGACATCTCTGAGTTTATTTTACTGCGCCAAATACCATGCCCAAGCGGCGTCCCCAGCCTTCGACTCCACCAGACCTACCCACCCCACCAGCCGGTGCATCAAAGAAACCATACTACGTTGCAGGTGACGCAATTTGGTACTGTCGAGAGCGCAGTATGTCATATGTAATATCTTCTATTTGCTATGAGGGTTTATCTAAACTATGTCAGAAACCGAATGGCGTGAAGGTACGATTGATTCAAGCACATCGAGCACCATACTGCAAACGGTATTTTCCCTTCAGGCACGTTGGAGACCTTATCTGACTTGTTAAGGTGAAAGATGATGAAGACGGGAAAGTATGGGAGGTTCCAGCTGAGCGCATTCGCTTAAGATATTAATTCTGTGGCGGGCATATTAAACATGGCTGTCCACTCTTGGGCAAATTGTTCGATCCACTTCCACAGATTGGGGGAAGCGACAAACATATTGCTTCGGAGCAATATGGGTGGGCTATTGACGGTATATTGTGTTTTCCATTCGGATATGAGTGTCAGCTTTTTAGCTATTGTCTTCCTGAAATCCTTGTTTTGAAAATAATCATTCTCGTCCTTTTCAATTTTTGAGAGCGGCTGATCCTCCTTTTTAACTTCGGAATAAACCTGAGCGTAGCGAGCTGAACGCCGCTGGTGTAAGAAGTATTCCCCCATATCCTCTCCGGGACCACGGGCGGAGTGCCATACAGTAGCAAACAGGTCATAATCTTCAATAGAGTCAAGGCTGAGGAGCCGACTCAGTCTCCAAGAGACTTGGGACCGCTCAAGCGATTCACGATACCTGGCGCCCAACTCCTTTTCAATAGACCCGGGCATAGCAGCAATAAAACCATCCCTGAAGGGTGCAAGTAATTCTGAACTAATTTCGTCGCAGTATTGCGGCAATCCTGGCGCGCCTAGCAGCATAGACTCAGGAATGGATGAAGCAAAGGCCCAGTCGATAATACACGTGATATTGTACTGGTCGTCGACGTATATATTATTGACGCTCAAATCAGCGTGGCATAACGGGAACGTCTTCCGGTCGACGGCTGGAAGTTGAAGTGTGGGCACAGTGTCGCGGAGGGCGTCGCCTGCAATGATGTAATCCACTCTGTTTTCTGATGAATCTGTTTTGCCTCCAATGGTCACGAAGTCGCTCCATAGGTTCACAGCACTCCTGTACTGCATTTTGGACTGATAGTCTTCCAGCGAGGGAACAGGTGCTACAAAACAATGATGTGATAACTGCAGAATCTCAGCATGCTCCGAGAAAGCGGAGACAAGGCTATCATAGAACTCGGCCGCAGAAGTAAATGGCCCACGCGGGATGTCCAGATCATATCGTCCACGTAATACGTGGCCGCGCGACAAACATTCCTGAATTTCAAAAGCCCCATCTTTTTCGACGAGTGAGCCGATTTGGTCGAGCCGCAGTTGTGAAAGTTTCCAAGTAATAGCGCCCAACTGAGTAAGAACTTTAGCCTTGCGGGAGGTGTCTAGGTCAGGTTGAGGAGAGCCGGCCGGTCTCCAAACTCTTGACAAGGGCCACCCAGACGCTTCACTCATAAAAATAAAGGGTATCCCGATGTCATTATCGGATGAAGTACTACAGGAGGTTAGCACTAGAAAAGTGTAGTCTGAGGGAGTTTGTTACCAATAGTCGTAAACTTCCGGGACCGGCACGTCGCTGTGAGCCCTAAGGTAACGGAGCGTAGCAGCTTCACTAGCTAGTAGCTTCATGCCCAGTTCCATTGGCATGAATTCTCTAGTGTGTGGCGATCTGAAGACCCAGCGCATCCCATCTTCAAAAGAAATGAAGATAGCCCAGTTAAAACTTCCCGAGCAAGGTCGTTGATCAGGGTCACAAACACAAGAAACGCCTTCCCGCAGTGCACTCGCTCTACGGCATAAAGCTTCAAGGTCAAAGTCAGCGTAAGTAAATATATCTGGTTTCACATCTAGGGCCATTTCGATCATAAGAAAACCCGAAGATGGAGAAAAATAAAACTAAAGAGGAGGGCCCGTTGCGCTGTTGAGCCGGAAGTTAAGTGGTTTAAGATTACTTATTGATCCTAGCCCCTTGTCCCAGCATATTCTTAATAAAGGCGGTGACGACCAGCTTTTGCCTTTCCCTGTTCTGTAAAACGTGTAATGTAATGACTTGCTCGGTCAAGAATATATACCTAGATTGTCACATTCTTTTTGTTCAGGTTGACCACCAAACAAATGAAATGAGTTGCCTCTCCACTGCCAAGAGCTTAATGCGATTTCTGAGAGTGAACGAATTGAATATATATGAGGACGGTCACAATGCCCCTTTACCAAACCAGAAATATACGATGTAGTTACTTACCCCATTTGCCTTGTCAATCTTACTATAAGCGACACTGCCCATTGCAGGACGCCGACTAACTTGACACAGATAAGCCGTGTGGCGCTATGCAACTAGGGGCAGCTATCAACGGGAGAAAGCTGAATCCACCCTAGTGCTTCTTACCAATTGTTAGTATCTCGCCGAAAATACAAGACGATAACTACAGCACGTCTCAGAATAACACCACAGAACAAGAGCGAAGCGGAAGACGGAACGAATAAAATCACATGAAAAGAGCAGACCGCTGTAATTTACAAACACATCTTTAAATTGATTTCACCTAGCTCCTGCCTACATCCTCTGTCGCTTGGCTCTGTCCTGCGCGCCATCCGAATTGTCGGTCACAACCAATCGGGGGAGGTTCGTCGTCAGCGCGCACTTGGTTGAAAATTCTCCGATAATCCGGGAGACCGTGGCGGCAATATATTGTGCGCCATCCGCGAGAACGCTGTCACCACGCCGAGGAGTGGAATCTGATGGAGGACCAGCATCGCCTCCACCCGCCGACCCGGCTGCCGCTACACCATCCGCGGCCGGAACGCTAGAGACGCCGCTCTCATTCTCCGCACGTTCCAGCAGCTCGTCCGAGGCCGACACCATTCGCAGGTCGGAAAGCGTGTCATCGATCCACTGTGGGTCGGTGCGGCCCGGGGCGGCGAGGAGGA